TAGCAAAAGAAGCTTTGCTTCTTATGCAAAAAAAAAGAAGCTTCTCTCTTCTTTTTTTTCTTCTAGCAGCTTCTCGGCTGCTAGGGAGTTTATTGACGTAAGGATATCATATCGTGCCGAAATGGGTTTCTTTGATTGCTTATAATAATTTTAGTCGGTCATGCTGGGCTGAATTTTTATCGTTGAGGTGAAATGTAAAAGAAAAATTTATTTATGCATCGGTTACTTGTAAATGTTATTATAATTGTTTAGTTATTTGGCTTGAAAAAAAAAATTTAAAGAGGCGTTTCAGTGGTTTTGTAGCAACAATGAGAAATTTTTAATTAATTTATTTATTTGAATTAATTTATTTAATTATGTACCTGTTTACTTTCAGTAGTCAGTTGTTTGAAAACATTATCAATGTTAACCTATTGTAATGACCACCGAATTATTTTCTTTTGTGACTCATCTTGGGAAGCAGCTGTCCTGAAAAAATATTCGCGTAAAAATTATGTTATCCATAGTTGAAACTAGCATTGGTAATTAAGTAACAGATAGAGGTCGAGAATTCAATTCTTAACCTCTGCGATGACCAATTATAAGAAGAAAATAACCGTCATCACTATTGCAGATGTTCTGTTGGATCCACCAACCTGTCAAGTTGATTTCTGAATTACAATGAAGTGAGGAATACTGTATCATGCAGTGACTTCCCACAGTATACTTGCCTTTATTTTTACAGGAGTCAGTGACTGGCCCCACCCATGCAAGCCTCGGTCCTGCATGTTCTTGGGTCGACCGTATTTTCGAGTCGCTTGGTCGTGCGTGGAGTTTGTATCTTAAAGCCTCGAGATCCAGCAGCGCAGCAGCAAACATTTGCTTAGGCTACACGTACACTCCGCTCCCAGCTTCAGTTAAGCGTCAAAGGCCCTCTTACCTATCACACGACCTGTCGTGTCTTACCTATCACACGACCTGTCGTGTCTTACCTGTCGGTATGAACATGCAGCCGTGTACTTACCTGTCACACGACAGCTCCCACGTGCATGCAGCCGTGTTCTTACCTGTCACACGACAGCTCCCACGTGCATGCAGCCGTGTTCTTACCTGTCACACGACAGCTGCCACGTGCATGCAGCCGTGTTCTTACCTGTCACACGACAGCTCCCACGTGCATGCAGCCGTNTATCGACATAAAAATTTCATTGTGCATGGCTTCACATTCAAGAGATAAAAACATAAATGAATTATTTAACGAGCAACGGTTCCATTAATAGGTCAAGTAAAGTAGAAACTAATGGCGACACCCATACCGTGTCCAACGGCTACAGCTATAGCGCTCTATTCCCGACGCCAATTCGTCTTGGTAACCAGCGGTTTGCATTCATTCCGCAAGCAATGGTTTTTCCATTACAATAAAAATATCAGAAAATTTAGAACGGAAGTAACAATCAGTTCATTTGAAGTCGTTGAAATTACATAACTTTAGCGTCTTGCGTGATCCCATTGAGATGACATTAATGCTATAATCACACTGCACGTTCATTACCATAGATATAACAGGCTTTGGCATGATTCTCTTTTAAGAATGAACACTGTGATGACTAGTGGAGTTCATTAAGATTTAGTGTGAACAATATTCACAGTCTGCGGTATTCTTATGCTGCGCTCGGCTTACATTTTTAGAACAAAAGGAAATTGTTCGCTCAATTCTTCGATGTTCAAACGTCCGCTTCACAAAAACGCAGCCAAATCATTGGTGGTGAGATATTTTATGACAACCATATGACAATGCGTTCAGCATTCAGTCTGTTGAAGATTTTCAGCTAATAAATATGTTCGTAATGAAGGGTTAATTCGTATTTTGGTTCCTTTTAACCATTTAATAGCAATTTTTCATAAGGAAATAAATATAGTGCAAACCTATGATGACTTCAATGAATCGAACACAATTATACCAGCATTATTATCGTCATTGTGCATTTATTTCAACAACGATTAGCGGATTATCAAAATCTGATTGATATACATGATTCTGTAAACAAATCAACATCCAATAAATAGTTATTTCGAGGCTCGATGAAAATTTGATTGAAATAAATAAACTAGAACTTATAGTCACAATAATGAAAAAATTTTTCGAAAATTCATGCTTTTATGAGGCCTCACGTCACTTGTAAAAGAATTCATCTTGCATCACTTTTGCTGCGCTTGGCGAACCTTGTTCATCGTGATGAAGTGGCTGCAAGAAGGAAATCCTATTTTAAGCAAGGTTTCATAAAAACTGAATACATAATGCAGTTTTTTATGTTTTCAGTATCATTCCTTTCGAATTTAATCACGAGCCCGAACCTAGAAAATCACAAGATGCCTAATTTCCTTGAAATAATGCATATTGTAGGCTAGAGTGTACTTAATGGGACCTTCTACTTGGATGCTAAATTAGATATTCTGTTTCATATCAAACTAATATAAAGGCGAATATTATCTCATGAGATGAATGGCCAGGTATCATTTGGCCATAAATGTTACGGGTTGCAGTTGTTTCAGATTTTGTCAACCCATGACATTTAGTTGCGCACTGAAGTCAGATGAGTTTCACACTCAAATGAAACACTGTGCTAAAGAATGGACAAGACTTTGAGGGATTGGAGTAAATCAGCTTCCGATGTATTGTGAATGATGCTAATGACTGTCTAAGACTCCAGTCACTGAGTTTGCATTCTCCTGAGGATGTTGAGCATTACTGCCAATGATTTGCATGTCCAAGTTTTTAATAAGAATTAAAATGACGTGCATGGCTGACTTAATTAAACATATAGGTTTAACGGTGGGCGTGGCTGAGTGATGGCTTTCAGTGAGAATGTTGCGTACGAATGAAACCGATCCGACATCAACCACGAGAGCAGTAACTACATCTTATGTCTTCACACTAATAGAAAATAGATGTACACAACGTTCTCTCCTTGCGATTAGTAGATACCTGCCAACAAATTTAGAGAAAACCCAAAGAAAGGCCATATCCTTCTTGTGACGGGATTACATATAGTTTTGCTCGCAAGTTCTACTAACATGTAGAAAATCCGGCAACAGGATCATATAGCCTTGGCCGTTATACACATATATCTGAACAATATGGTGACAGGATCATTTAGTTTTGCGAGCAGGTTATACAAATTGAAAGCCACCACTAATTACTAGACGTACTGATTAAACTTACCGTAAAAAATGTGACTGCTTTATTAATCATGGCATACAATATATTATGAAGATGCCTTAAGATATTAAAATGTTGCACACCTCTGATAACTTCTTCCTTTATAATTTTTGATACGTCCAAACCATGCTGTGTAACACCACACTACTGCACGAATAAATAATTATCGTCGAAAAACGTTTTCATTTTTCCACAATTATTAAGCTATCTCTGTCTATATAAAAAGGTGGATAGACAGATATAACATCGAATTATTCCGCACACGTACAAATAAAGAGCCATATTGCTTTACATGCTTCATTGTGCGTCAACTATCCTTGTTAAGCAGCAAGTTGACTCTTGTTATAGCGCCCATTGCCCGAGTTATGTTTGGCCATACTGCTGCTAACCGAAGATACCCCGGCCTTACATTTTCTGGCCTAACCTACACACGTTGCAACACTTCTCCACACCAAACAAAACGTGCGAAAACCTAACCTTATTGGCTGCATGACGTTAAATAGAGGGGCAGGTGAGTTGATAGAGCCAAACATTGCCTGCATGAAAGTTTTGGGTCGGTGTAGCGTGATTAAGTTAGGCGAGAAGAGGTTAGTCCGGAGCAGGTGAGGCCGGATGCTGAAGTGCATGCTTTATGAGCGATCATGCTAATGTATTGCAGAAGATTTACGGTGATATTATATTATGGCAGTGTGTGACTGGTTTTGATATGGTGTTTCAGCGTAGTCGGCGGCATCTAGCTCTGTGGCTGAATAAAGTTATTGCAAGCTGAGGCTGTTCGTATGTTTCAGGGCATATTTAGGAGCTAAATTTGTGGGCCATGTCTGCGCCCCCCAATGCGCTTGTGAAAATGATGAGTCTTTAGCATTGTAGAGTTGACAATTTATTTTTCAGTCAGACTCCACAGTTTGAAGTCGGCCGAGATTAGAAGTTACATTTGCAGCAGTTCGCGAACTTCTTGACAGATGGACGTGGGTAGTGGCTCTGTCAATTGGCCCTTCTTATAAAAGAATAAAAAAGTAACTCATAGGGTGCGGAATTCTATATGACCTTGCATTCGTCCTAAAACTCTAAAAAATGTATATTTTCTGATCTATCGATAAATCAGTTTTCTCATGGAATTTGTTTTCATGACGCGATAAGTCACAAGTACAATTAAAGTAAGGTAAATGAGGTTACTTTTCATGGTTCAAAACGTTTAATCATGCGCTTAAATGTACTAGTATATGCATGTCATGTATGTACATTGTACATGTAGACAATCAGAAAAAAGCGGCAGATAAACGATTGTCCATCTTCTAAGCACATTTACGTCAGCACAGATATTTACAGGAAGAAGATTATTTACAGACATCGATAAAAAAATGAAACAGCCAAATGAAAGGAAGTGGAAGTACACGGATGAATGAAAAAATGTATAATTTGAGACGATAAGGGAAAATATAATTCATATCAAATGGTAACTTTTAAAACATAAAAATGTGGAAGCTTTCTTGAATAATATTTTCAGCTAGAAGATGCAGCAACAATATAATAGCGAAACAGGATAATGGAAAAACATCGTAACTTCGAAATACTTCAAAGAAAATGTATTTGAGGTAAAAATCATTTTGTCACGTTATCTTCAAAATACTATCAATGCCGCAATGCAACTGGAAAGCAAGAGAAGAAATAATTGAAATAAGAATCATATTGCACTAGAATATTTATTTACTATAGAATAGAATCTGTAGTTAAAATCTACACGACTTAATACGACCGAACAGAAATATTGATCAATATTTTTTTTTCATATTGTCCTACACATTTCAAGACGTTTCTTGATGTAATTCAATCCTGGTTTGATTTTTTAAATATTCAAAGAAAGTAAGAATCAACAGTTATAATTTATCAACAATTATAACGTAAAAAGTCCGATAGATTCCTCAGTACGGACGCCATACGTGATGACCAGATGCTCGACTAGAAGACGCTTTTAAGGAACGGAACTTGATGGGCTCCTTGTGCGCGTGTCTGGTGACTGAATCATTAGACTCTGGGTCACTGGGCGGACTCGCTCTATGTTTTTCGACGTGGATTCTGTGGGCAATATCTCTGTTCGATTCACTGGAGTCAGGAAGCTTAGCTGTGGCCTTAGGACTTGAAGAATTAGTAGAATCTACCGCAGCAAGCTGCAGGGCTCTTGAACTGTCGACACTTCGAGGCGAATGCTTCGGTATACTGAATGCGCTGAACCCAGCAATGGGCACAGGTGCCTCCACACTGGCAGTGCTGGTCTGCAAGCTTCCATAAAAACGAACTGGGGACCGAGCGGCAGATAAATTAGACGAATTCAAGAGGGAGCTAGATCCAGTTGGTATGAAAGGAGCTCTCAGTAGAGGATGAAGTCTGGCGGTATCTGCCATTCTGGGAGGAGAGGAGTTGGAGAGCAACTTTATTCCGTCACACCTCGGAGTTGTAGTAGATGAAGGTGATGTTCTTGAAGGCGGAGAAGGTGTGTTGGGTGGAGAAGAGGCTGCTGAGTTAGAGGATCGAGTTGAAGTGGTGGATGCGTTTGATGGAAGGCCTGCTAGACTTATTGGAGACTTGGACCTTCCAGAGCAAGGCCCTAGGCCGCTGTCACAACCACTGCAGCGTCGACACCGGCCTTCCGAGGCTGGAACAAAAATGCAGGCTCATGTTAACTTATTACAAACCAACAGCGATGAAAAGATTGAATATATGACCTATGATAATGTGTTTACCACATTTTAAATGTGGCAAACAACTCAATGCAGATCAGGCGAGGCATACGAGCACTAACATTTACAAAGCACTGAAGGAAACCCTGTATACATTTTTAACATGAAATTCTATACATATCCGAATAAAATCAAAGTTCCTAAAAAATTCAAAGTGTATGAAGGCAAACGATTCAAATTCGAACGAGGCCGATCCAGGTCGAGAAGGACAAATGTTCATGAGTGATTTTTTTTAACTTCAAATAAAGTAATTATTCCATAATATGTGGCTTTTTGGTGTACCCATGCAATCTCCAAAGAAGCGCTCTCAAAGAGCAGTATAAATTTGAAAGAATGGGCGTTCACTAAAGACACCTAATTTCTATTATTTATTTTTTTTAATTTAGATTTCCTATTTATTATTTTTGCAGGTGGGATCTGGTGCAGAAAACATCAAACTTTAAAAATGTTTCTCTGTTCGTAATTTCAGGCATGATCAGAAAGTAATACAAAGCCAAATATTTGCGCGTAAAACTGTTTAAAAGCGTTGAAAGTATTTGAGGACAAACGATGAAAGATAGACAAATGCTGGATTTAAAATTCCATGTTTTAATTTTGTGGGTAACAAGCTGATTAATTAATGATGAAAATTTCAGATAGTTGTGGTTTTTGACTTTGAAACCTGATATTTTTTATGAAAGATTTCAAAAACAAATTTGACTAAGATTTCTGTTGAGAAAATTCTGTGGAATTTTCCTATACACGTTGAACATAACGGAGTAATGCTCATCAGAAGTTCTGCAAGCTGAAGGATTCAAATTCAAGTTGATTCAATGTTCAATTTACTTTGTGTATCTGACATCTTGAATACGAGTTCAACACACCATTATATTCAGTAATTTCAAGGTCCATTCATTGCTGTCACGCAAAGTCAAAAGGATTCAATGTTGAAATGAATCAAGCGGTGGACGTTAAAAGACATCGGGCAAGCAACGAAGCCTCGAGTCGCGTAAGCAGCGGTGGAGGAAGCTATAAAACGGTGAGAGGTAAACAAACGGTGCCTGCAACTGGTTACTTATGCGTCTGCCACAGCTGCTGTTTACTTGCACCCTGTTGTTACTGGCACTCGAACCATAAAGCTCCTAAGCCGTGCAATTTACGACCAAAATGTCTGGCCATCCCTCAGGGATCGTCGTGAAAACTACTTTGCTTCAACTGAACATGTGAATCACGTGAATATAGGGCACGAATTTATCATGCAAATAAATACCATTCATTGTATCAAGAGTTGTGCTCGAAAGTCCTCATGATCGTAAGATTCATTCAGAACGCCCAGCAACAATTTTTCTATTTAATTCTGGAGTTTGATTCAGTGGAGCTAATATCAGACCCGAAACGTGAGAGGAAAGAATATATTGAGTCATGTTTGAATAATATGTTTCCCGAAACGATGGTACAGGATAAAAATTGGAAGCATAGGTATTTTTTGAACACTAAGCTTAGTTTCTTTTTTTTTTTATCAGTTCAGATTGTCGTGGAGACCAAAGCTCGCAGATGGATTTAAATTGATTCGCGTGCATATAATTAAATAATCTGCCTTAGCGTTTCATTTTTATCATAAGCGAAGAAGTAAAGTCAGAGTCTTGACCTATCGATTGCTGACTGAAATACAATAGAAATACGAGAAAATCATTTACTTTTTAAGCTGATCTCGTAGAAACGGAAAGTGTCGTATACATGACTTGAAAATCTAGGTTAAAATTACTCGGAAAGTGAGATAAGATTAATCAATTCCTTTCCTGCAAATATGATTAAAGAATGCAGGAGCTGGGTCCTTCATTAACGCCGCAATAAATGTGTATCTGGGAACTTTATACAGAGATACTAATCAAGAAATTCAGGGCTAAGATGGAATAATAAAGCAAGACTACGAAGGCTCACCCATGAGAGGAGACCGATGTGTCTCTGAAAGTCCTGCCAAAGCGGCAGCCATCTGCTGGTATTGCATGGCGCTGACAGGTGGCGGCGGCTGTAGCAGAGACGAGGGCGCTTGTAGAGACACGCTGGGGCTAGTCACTTGCAGGGGTAGATGGCCATGCAGAGGCCCGGGCACCGAAGCGGTGGGTGAAGCGAGCATGTGTGCCGCCGCTCCCGCGTTGACAAAAGACTGCATTTGGTTGAGACGGTACATCTCCATGAGGCTTCCTCCTTGGGCTGCTGTGCATGCGAGACAGAGATGGGGATGAGATGTTGCGAGGTAAGTGTGTCAACATGCTGCATTGATAGTTGTTCTTTACAATGATATAATTTCAAGTGGAGTTGTATCGATAATTAGGATGAGGCCTGTTTCTGCCATTTGGTTTAGATAATGTGAATGCAGCTTTAGGAACGTATCACTTGAATGCTTAGATCGCTAATTCACCAACAATTAGAAAGCAATGAGAATATCCGAAAATTCAGCATTTCTTTATAAGAGAATACCAGCTTTACAGTCAGTTCCAAATCCAAACCACTATCGGATACCGGAACGTTGCACTGGTCAACATTAAAGCGTACAGCTGAATGAGGAGGATGCACAACCAGGTTTCCCGTCCTACAACTCCTCCCTTTATGCTCCGTCAGCCTAGTATAAAAATTGCGAGACTGTATTCCGATGTACGCTGATGCGCACTGCGCCCAACTCTATCTATAAACTAGAGTAGATTGCTTATCTTCATACTTGAACAATGAGCTTATTTTAAAATTATCCGCCAACTGTATGTGGGGATCAACATTCGGAAAGTATTTAGAGAATAGAATTTTAAAATCCTTAACCATAGTCTCAGATGCACGGCCAAAATAAGGAAATGAACAATAAACAGCGTTTCTATTGTCACACTTGGGAACTTCAGAGCATTGCCTATAAGATAAATTTCTTAATTTGAGTTTATCCCAGTTGCTACGGAAACACATTTAGTGAAAAGATACTGCGCAAAAATTTTGATTCGATGTGCATAGCAGGTGAAAGAGGGCAAATATGAAAGCCGCGGTTTATTAATGTGTGAAGTTCATTTAGCTTGAAACGTAATGAACGAAAACTAAAAAGCTGATGCTTAAACCGGTAAACGTTGACTCTCCGAAAACGGAAGTCTGGAAACAGCAATTAGATTTTATAACATTGCAATCGAGAAAAGACAAACTATTGTTAAATTCTGGCTTCATTGGGAATTTGATAGACTTATAACGAAGCTTTATAAAAAAAACCGCCCTCGTGCATGATTGGGATGATAGGAAAGTATAAAAAAGTATCGTCGACGTATCGGTTACAGAAAACTGCCCAAAAACTAATCTCCACCTAGTGAATTGTCGTTATTTAAGTATTAATGATACTCTACCTCTTCTTATGCGAACGTCCTCTGTTTATAGATACAGTTGTGCGCAGTGCGCATCCGCGTACGTCGTTATAACGTCGCGCAATTTTTATACTAAGCTGGCGGAGCATAATGGGAAAAGTTTTAGAACTTCAAAACCAGCTTGCGCATCCCCCTCATTCAGCTGTAGGTGTCCATGCCAAGAATTGCAACGTCCTGGTATCCGATAGTGATTTTAGAGTTTTAGCCGACACAACCTGTGTTTCTGACTTACAAATTTGAGAATCCCCGTATATTTTTAAACAAAACCCTAGTTAATTGCCGCTTTCAGCGCCTATAACTATGAAATTGTTAATAGATATGTCTATCTGTTCATGTTCATTCGTTTCTTTTTTATTTATCGATTTAGCTTTTAATATCTTCAATGGTTATATTTGTTTATCAACTGATTGTGCTTGTTTCTATAGGATTTTGAACTGACGATGGAGCTGCACTCCGAACGTTTTCCCTTATGAAAAAATAGTGAATTATTTGGCTATTTTCTTTGCTTTTAAATCTTAGCTTGACAAACATCCTGTATATCAACATCTGCGACGACCTTTTTGTCATAAGGTTACTAGTTCACGTTAAAATGAGTTCAATGTGATGACTTTCAAATTTATGTCAAACAAAAAAAAATTATTTGGAAAGGGTAAAGTCCAGTCGGATGCAGGGCAATAAAAAGAGGTTGCAGGATAAATTCTAAGTAGAGAGAAAACATTATTTTTACCTCTGTACAGATCCACCAGCGCGGCGTGCTGCGCGTCAAGCCCAAGCGAGTAGCCCATGCCGCCTGGCCCCACCCACGGCATGTGGTACCAGCCCTGGCCTGGTAGGGGCGAATAAAAAATGAAATTAATTATGTTTTAAATTACTTTTGCGTATTTCAACTCTTCATTAATTGTATAAAACAAAGACCCAAATTTGGGTCTTTGTTGAAAAGATAGCAGCATAACCAAGTGGGAGATGAAAAGAAAATAAGAGTTTGCTGAAAATCTGTTTGATAATGGAAGAAATATTAAGAGACAAAAGGCACGGCGAGTGATTGAAAAAGAATGGAATTTAATAGATTAAAAACTAAATTACATAGAAGTATAACATAATTATGTTAACAGTCCCGGTTATAAAAACAAATGAAAGAAATTGCAATGCTCAGTATTAACTGCAACACCTGTTAGGGGCAAAAGCAAGGTACAAATTTATTAAGGCATGGCTCTTGTTAACTTGATCAGCGCTCAGTCCTAGAAAGCACATCGTCATAATTAACCCAGAGTCATTAATTAGTAATCCCAGCGGTTCGTTACCGTCGTTTTCTGTAGGAGTTGACGCTGATAATAAAGGCTAAGCCGCCGAATAAAATTTGTTCTCACAACATGAGGACAATAGGGGCGATCAGCATAAGCTGAGTTCATCAAACACAAGGGAAGGGAATTACGCTGGAAAACTTAAGCCCAATCCTCTGTAGAATTTGCTTTAATTGATGGGTAAGCATGTCTATCGCAGCCAAGCAGGCTAGAAGTGTTGAGTGTTTGACCACACATACAGAGAAGAACTTCCAATATTATTATCTGATTATTATAAACGTCCGAAAATTGCAATATAATTTTGCGAATGAAAAACAATGAAAAACTATATCTACCGAACCACATTGTAAGTGTCTTTAAACAATAATGAAGGGTTTTTGACGTGAGAAAATATAAGGTCAGAGTCACGGTTTTATTTATAATTTTATTTTCATTTGTGAATTCCGTTGAAAAAATTATTACCCTGTAAAAACATATCAAACTGCGTGAAACACAGGAAGATGAAAACCCGAAAAAATGATTTTGAGGGAAACGTGGAAATGTGATCAAGAAAAAAAGTTGATACAGTTGTCAAGGAAGAAATAAAATTTGGCCAAGAAGGTAAAGGAAATGGGCCAAAAAAAGTGATGGAAATATGATCAGGAAAGTAATGAAAATGCGACCGAAAAGTTATGGATATGTGATCAAGAAGGTGATGGAAATGTGACAAAGAAAGTAGAGGAAATGTATTCGAGAGAGTAATTGAAATGTGATCGGGAGAGGAATTAAATGTAAAAAAATAAATCAATGGAAAAGTGATCATGAAAGTAATGCAAATCTAATCAAGAAAACATCGAAAATGCAGTCAAAAATAAAAAGAAATGTGATCAAGAAGATAATGGATATGTGATCAAGGGAGTAGTGTAAATGTGACCAAGAAAGTAATTGATTTTTTCAATCAATTAATCTATTTCTAACCCCAAATATAATGTAAATGTAACTAAGAAAGTAACGGAAATGTGATCAAAAAAGTGTGGTATATTTGGTCAATAAAGCAATGGAAATAAGATTTAAATCAAGATTAACAACCTTATTTCCGTCACTGCATGCATGAACATGAGAAATTCTGTTGATCAAATTGATATATACGTAATAAATTATAGCTGCAACGGCTCTTGCGTGTATCGTTCAGAATAATGAAATTTAAAATTATCAAACAATATCGAGTTATCTCATTCTTTAAGTAATAAAGAGTGTATCAGACTGCAGAAGTCGTAATTTTCAATACATAACCTGAAAGCTGCTCGGTTTACATGTGGTCAACAATAATTTCAAATGGCCAGTTTCTTGGAGGTAAAAATTAAGCGTTTCATTTTTTTAAACAAATTGGCTTGATGTTCAGCCTTTTTACACCGGAAAGGAGAATCACAAGAAGATTTTGAGAATACATGTGTGTTTCTTACCTAAGTTTTGATAATTCATGTGTGTTTCTTACCTAAGTTTTGATAATTTACGTTTGTTTCTACCTAAGTTTTGATAATTCATGTGTGTTTCTAACCTAAGTTTGATAATTCATGTGTGTTTCTAACCTAAGTTTTGAGAATTCATGTGTGTTTCTAACCTAAGTTTTGATAATTCATGTGTGTTTCTAACCTAAGTTTTTATAATTCATGTGTGTTTCTAAGCTAAGTTTTGATAATTCNCCTGGGTTAAACAAAGAGCAAGTCTGCACCGAAATATCTCAAGTTACCTTCAACCGTCCAGAGCAAACTATGAAGTTCAACATTCAATTTGTTTTCAAAGACCTCATACAAAGAGTATCAAATAATTTATAATACAATAAATCACAATAAATCCAACCCATTACAAATATTTCGATATTGTTATGAGGCCCAACGGCCCACCTCCCGAATGCAACCAGAGAGCACGCAGTGGGTGGGGCCCGCCTGTCATTCAGTTCAGAAGGGCCCTAAAGATATGAGGGTGAGCGTGCGAGCCAACAGGGGAAATATCATACAACCCTTCTTACAAAATGGTATTTCATAAAAAGCTCTATGAGCGAGAAGATATTTCGGTTCCATGTGGACCAAATTTACCAAATTGTTCGGTGGGCTTGTAGTTCAAGAGGGCTATGCGACTCAATCAATTAGACGAATGCTGCTACTATCGACGAGAAAAACTATTTCGTGTAATTGCCGTAAATGGGGATGACTAAATAGGTAAAGCTAAAATAGTCTATTCGTCCATGGGGATTATCTATAACTATGTATGTCTCGAAAAGTCCTCGATGAAAGAATGAAAACTTGGTTTTAATTGGTATACTAACTTAATGATGACGTACTAGTCCTATTAGTTCAAGTCAAAAATCATTTGGATGAAAATTTGAGAGAAATGTAATTCAGGATCAGGAAGACATGTACAACGGCCAAGCTCAATAAAGGGTTAAATCAGTGAACGAATCTGAGTGTGTGGTTGGAGGGTCGGCAGGCATGGCGCTTCCATCATCCGCATAGGGGATCTCGTCGTAAAAAAAAAAGAGAAAATGGTCGCCCGGATCGAATGAAACAAGTCGCCGGCAACTGAAAGCAAAAAGTGTCCGTGTCATTGAAAGAAGAACGTCGCTCTGCAATGTGTGGATTATGACTGAAAATTTGAATGTCGTCAATGGAATGCGGTCGCCCACTGGGCGCCCGATCAATAAATCATGAGGGGTATTTGGAGTCCTGTGAGCAGTGATGTTTTTTTTTGTCCCGCAAATCCGGGCGCAACACAAGTTGCTGTCATAAACTTCAATACTAGCGCACGTGACGACTTGCTTCTCGAATGTAACTTTCTAGCGGTTAGGCGACATAAGTTTTCTCTAGAACTAATTTAGATTTCATGGAATTTATAATTTCATTTAATATAATTAAATTTATCCACGTATTATATTACGGAGAATTATGCCCTAAATAAGCGAAAAAGGAACAAAACCTATAACAAATAATCTGAAACTGCCTAAAATTGCAGTAAACATCATCAAGTTTACTTGGCCCAAAATGGACCCATCCTCGAGAATGGGCCATCATTTTTAATTGTATTTTAGAAGCAAGTTTGCTCTAATAAATATAATTTGAATTAAACAGACGTTATAATCAATGAAAAATGTACATCATGAGAATGACTGTTAAATACACAAGTGCAAATATTTGCTACAGACACCCAAGATTATAAAGATATTCCCTATTGCATGAATGCTTGTACTGTATCAGTAAATCTTGCCAGTGGTTCAGCAAGCTAATTTGTCTGCGACTAATCTTGAACAGCGATTGCACAAGCATGTCAGCTTCAGATTCTCGTTCAGTTTTCGCAGCAGTGTATCGCAGGAAAAATTTGTATTATTCCTTCTTCAGATTAATAATTACACACATGATATCGGTACTTACTGGTACTGAGTGCATAATAAAGCAGTAAGTATTATTGAGCATCGAGCACAAAAGTCTTATTTCAGTCTCCATATATAAGCCAGCCATCGATATCGACGGACCTCCCCAGAGACCAGCGGCTATAGCAGCTCCGCAGATCTGATACCACGATACACAGCTGTCGTTATTATACGGCTGCTTCTGCTGCTGTACGAAGCTTGATAATCATGTCGGATAGTTCGTAAAATTTTTTGTTGGCTCAGGTCAGGCTCAGGCTTTCTGACGAGCCAAAACTTGTTCAGCGTCATAAAACAAGCAAATAATTATTCAGCAATGCGACAGTTAAAACTTATTTTGTTGGTTGAAAAGACTTATCTGTCGGTGCATTATTTTATTTATAAAGCGCAATAGAGAAGCGATGGAGAATTTGAAAGCAGAAGAGATAGCAAAAAAAATGGACACGTTACGTTAGCTTATATTTTATCGTTAATTAGACTTCACCGTCACCTCTGAAATAGAAGCACGTTTTCATTTCATTTTCCAGACTGAAAATGACAGTATAATGTAAAATGGGCCTGAAGATCATACCATGGTAATAATTTTTTGTCCTTCAGAGCAAGTCCTTCACCCTCTGCTCTCGAGCAGCCTCCCTTCCTTCTCTTGGATCATTATCGCGATATCTCTCATTGCTTTCTCCATGGTTCCCTCACACTCCCCGCGCAATACCCCTACTTCCCAAGCTCCCTACTTACCCCTCTGAGGCCCTCGAGAGTTCCCACAGAGCTCCCACTAACGGTCCCGCTCTCCTTTTGTGCGCATCCCCTGCGCAGGCGTCGCGGAGGCAATAATATATACGCGCGGGACCGCTGCTGCCCGGTGAGTTCAACACCTCGTCTGCGCGGCGTCGTCGCGGCCGAACGTCAGTTAACCGCACCGAGACCGGGTTTAGATCGCCGGAAAATAAGGGTCATCGTGTCTAAAAAATGAGTGATTTTCTTAACAAGAAATGGATAAANCTGCTGCCCGGTGAGTTCAACACCTCGTCTGCGCGGCGTCGTCGCGGCCGAACGTCAGTTAACCGCACCGAGACCGGGTTTAGATCGCCGGAAAATAAGGGTCATCGTGTCTAAAAAATGAGTGAT